GTGCTGCTGCTGTGACTCCTCCTCTACTCTCTCCTGATGCTGCTGCTGCTGCTGCTGCTGCTGCTGTGCCCTCTCAAATCGCTCACGCTCCTCCCTCTCCAACCAGAGGAGACGCTGCTCACGGGTCAGGAAACGTACAGTGCGCGGTGTAGGCGCCACAGTGCCAGTGCCTCCAGCTCCAGCACCCCCAGAACTAGCACCTCCACCACCGACACCTCCGGGGCCTCCAGTACCTCCCGCAGGAACACCCCCAGGCTCCGCAGCAACCGAACGCAGAGAAGAAGGAGGAGGAAACTGCGGGACGGACGGGAAGCCAGGGGGTGAGGCAGGGCGAGGCCGCCGAGTCGAGGCTGCCGTGTCCTCCACAGGAGTGACCTCCACGCCCACAACCCCTGCACCCCCAGAGCCGACACCACCAGCTCCTGCAGCCCCAGTACCCTCACCCTCCGCAACTGCACCTCCCGCACCCCCAGACACGACAGGGACTGGACGCTGCGGGGGGGAAGACTGCGGAGTGACGTGCGACACACCTGACGGGGCAGGACGCGAAGGGGGGGGGGCTACCGGGGCGACTGGTGGGGGCTCAAGGGTGAGGAACAGCGGGGGGGAAAAGGCCTCAGTACCTCGGTGGGGGCGACTCCTGTAGTAACAGACAGACTCGTCGAACGTGACGTCCTGCGAAGCGAAGAACTGGTAGGTGACCGGGTCGTAGAACACCCAGCCGGAGGCGTCCAAAGGGAAGCCAAGAAAGACGCAGGCACGAGTGCGCGGAGACAACTTGTTCGCGCCAGGGGCGCGAACGTGAGCCAGACAACCCCAGACGCGGAAGTCAGCTGCTACGCCCGGAGAACCTGTCCAAAGGGAGACCGGCGTCACCCTTGGCTGTGCGTCACTGGGCCACAGGTTCAGCTGGTGCGCGGCGTAGCGGACTGCCTGGGGCCACAAGAACTGGGGGGCACCGGCATGGCACATGGAGGTCCGGGCAACCTCCATGACCAGGCCGATGCGTCGCTCGGCTACCCCGTTCTGCTGCGGTGATGCTGGTAGCGTGTAAGACTGGATGATCCCCCGACCCTGACAGAACGTCTCCAGGCGAGTGGAAGAAAACTCACCACCACGGTCCGAGTGTAGGCGAAGCCCACACAGGCCCTGGGCGCCACCCCACGCTAGTAGCCACGGCTCGAGGACGGTAGGCACGTCGGCCTTCCGTCGCAAGGGGAAAACCGTGGTGTAGCGGGAGTAGTCGTCCACCACAATCAGGAAGTAGCGCTCCTGACGTGGGCCAAGGACCGGAGAGGGGCCCCAGACGTCCAAGTGCAGGGTCTCGAAGGGAGCCGTGGTGGGGGGGAACGAGGAGGAGTGAGGGGCAGCGCGCTGCCGACCCTCGACGCAAGGAGTGCACAGCGGCGCAGGCGAGCGGGGAAGCGGTGCAAGCGACCCTGGGAGACCTGAGACCAGACGGTAACGTGCCATCCTACTGAGACGCGGGAACGACGGGTGACCTAGACGGTGGTGCCAGAGGACCGACGGGTGGGTGAGGGACCGACAGTCACACGACACAGCAGCTACCTGACCTGACCTGACCTGACCCGACTCAGTGTGGTGGGACCCAGTGTGTAGTGAGTACAGACCAGATCCCGGCTCTCTGTGGAATGTGGCCAGGGGCGCCCCAGTGGCATCGACAGTGCAGGAGGCAACAGGCTCGTCCAGTGGGAAAGTAGTGACTACGCCTAGGTCGTGAAGGTGACTGACACCCACCAGGTTCCTAGAGAACGAGGGGGTGTAGTAACCTGTAAGAAAACCCGAGGGAGCCGCCGGACACGGAAGAGTGGTGGTGCTGCTAGCAACTGCACGTCCCACAGAGGGGTCAGCCAAGGTGACAGTGACTGGAGTGCGCAGTGGTGTGAGGTCGGTACAGTCGCGAAAGAAACAGCTGGACGCTCCAGAATCTAGGGTGAAGGAAAGCTGTGCAGTCTGTGGGGTCGCACCCGAACCAGCTACAAAGGCTAGTGCTAGACTAGTGGTAGCTGCAGCTTCTACACAAAGACCCTCAGAGGCGCCGGGACTGGAAACAACACACGCACCAAGACTGGAAACACAGGTCTCTACTCGTGCAGCCGGAAAGGGTCCTAGACCAGGCAGGTGAGACTCAACTGGTGCAGTAGTGCGCTGGCGAAGGCGCGAAGTCCAGTGCGGTGTAATAGCGTGAGGACCAAAACGCTCACGGTGGAGGTCGTCGAGTCGACGGTAGCAGCTGGACGCAGTGTGGTCAGGACTCCAGCAGGTAGTGCTAGCACCAGGGCCTGTCAGGGCCCGGTACCCGCAGGGGCCGACGTCTCGCCCACTGCTAGCTGAGCCACTGCTGGGGGCGCCACACTTTGGACCCGCAGGCCCCCACTGATGGGAGTGCTGCGGCTGGCCCTGCTGCTGTAGAACCCTAGTACATGCCATGTGAGCCTATGCTGCTGCTGGTTCTGCTGGGGGCAGCCTAAGCTGCTGCTGGTTCGCTGGGGGCAGCCTGTGCTGCTTCTGGTTCTGCTGAGAGGCAGCCTAGGCTGCTACTGGTTCTCCAGGGGGCAGCCAATGCTGCTGCTAGTGCGCTGGCAGTTGCCTAAGCTGCTGCTGGTGCGCTGGCGGTAGCCTAAGCTGCTTCTGGTGCGCTGGGGGCAGCCTATGCTGCTGCTGGTTCGCTGGGGGCAGCCTATGCTGCTGCTGCTGGTGCTCTGGCGGCAGCCTATGCTGCTGCTGGTTCGCTGGGGGCAGCCTATGCTGCTTCTGGCTCTGCTGGGGGCAGCCTTAGCTGCTACTGATTTTGCTGGGGGCAGCCAATGCTGCTGCTGGTGCGCTGGTGGCAGCCTATGCCGCTTCTGGTTCTGCTGGGGGCAGCCTACGCTGCTGCTGGTGCGCTGGGGGCAGCCTATGCTGCTGCTAGTGTGCTGGCGGCAGCCTATGCTGCTGCTGGTTCTGCTGGGGGCAGCCTACGTTGCTGCTGGTGCGCTGGGGGCAGCCTATGCTGCTGCTGGTGTAGCTGGCGGCAGTGTAATCGGCTGGGGCTACTGACGGCGGGTGTAGTAGATCGTGGGGAGGCAGGTTTCAGGTGGGGAAGCTGTTAAGGCAGCGGGCTACGGGTGAGGCGGCGGTTCTGTGCAGTTCTGTGCGGTTATGTGCAGTACTGTGCGGTTCTATGCGGTGGAGAGGACCGGGTGGGGCGGCTGATCCCGGGTGAGGTGCCTGGAACGGGTGGGGCAGCAGGTTTCCAGGTGGGGCGGCGGTTGTCAGGTCTGGGGCGGCGGTTTTCAGGTGGGGAAGCTGTTAAGGCGGCGGTTCTGTGCGGTTCTGAGGGGGATTTCAGGTCTGGGGGCCGGTTACGACGGTGGGCTGCACGTGCGCGCGGCTACGACGTACTAGCGCGGAGCTGCGGGTGCGACTAAGGCTGCGCGCGCAGCTACGTGCGTCCGTCTGCTGCGCGCTAGAGGACTGGGGGGCAACACGCGGGGTAAAACGAGTGGGGCGCGGGGCTAAAAACCGAGTGACGCTCGGCAAAAAACGGGTGGGGCGCAGGGCAGAAACGGGTGACGCGCGATGTCGACGGGGGGCGCGACCTACTCGGGCTCTACGGGGCAGGGCGCTTCGGGCTATGGGTCGCTACGAGGCGCGCGGGTGGTGGGCCCATAGACTATCGAGAGAAATTTCGCCTAAGGGAAAAAATCGCCTAGGGGAAAAATCGCCTAAGGGAAACCTAGCTCTATACCATGTTACGATAAGAATGAATTGATAGAAAATGTGAAGTACAACCCTAGATATAGCAAACCCTAATCATGCAAGTAAGTAGAAATGTAACACCTAGACTAACCTAAACAACACATATAAAATATATGTTGACATATAGCATATAAGTTTGACACTCCCCCCCCTCCCCCCCCTCCATGGGGACGGGAGGGAGAGGGTGTGAGGGGGTGGCGGATGTGCCTCAGCAGCAGCAGCTGCCGCCACGCCTCCTCCTCTCTCTCTCCCTGCCGCACCTTGTGTTGGGAGGGGGGGGGAGCTTGGAGGTTAAGGGGGTGGCAGGAGGGGATCTGCAGCACCAGCCCCCCCCGCCCCCCCCCCCCCCCCCCCCTTTCTCCTCCATCCCTGGGGGGAGGGGATCTGCAGCACCAGCCCCCCCCCTTTTCTCCTCCATTCCCCTGCTGCGGGTGCAGCAGTGGGGGGGAGGGGATCTGTTGGTGCAACCCTACGGTTTGCACTCGGCTTGTTGTCCGTGTGCGTGAATGTGTGTGTGTATGGAATGGTATGAGGGCATGGGATGATATATATTTCATGCTTATAATTGTGTGTGAATGTTGAGTCATGATGTCGAGTGTGTGTGTCGAGTCAATAGCGAGTTATCGCTAGACGCGTGTTACGCGGTCGTTTGTGTCTCGCGCGCGGTTTCTATTTTGTCGTGCGCGGTTTCTATTTTGTCCTGTGTCGAACGTTCGGCGTGTCGCAGGTGTGTGCAGCAGACCCATCAAGAACTCAAGGATGAGTTTGTGATGAAGAGCCCGAGCCTTGGTGTCAAGCCTCAAGTGATTTCGAAGCTTGCCAAAAGGGTACACCTCAAGATATTGAAGATAGTTACATTACTTTGTGTAGTTTCGAGACCCTTCGTGGTTGGGGACAGTGTGGCACTGTTCCACATCACTGTACCTCGGCTCTTGGGGTTTGTAGGAGCTGGGAGTCATTCCCAACTCGTAACCCTTGCTAACTCTTCCTATCTTGTGTTCTAAGACTATAGTGGCTGCCATAGTACCGTTCGTTCAAACCGACGCTGTGTCGTCAATTCTTTATGAAATCGTGCAATCTAAATTGCTTATTGTAGGCGACGTCAAGACGCTCCAGATCCAATTTGAATCAAGTCATTTGCAGCTGTGAGCAGAACGCTATCAACGTTTGAAGCCGATGTGCAGAAATCCGTCTGTGCACTCTATCTTTCGTTTTAGGCACATTCAAGGCTATTGTGACTATAACAGGATCTGCAGCACCAGCCCCCCCCCGCCCCCACCCCCTTCTCCTCCATCCCCCTGCTGCGGGTGCAGCAGTGGGGGGAGGGGATCTGCAGCACCATCCCCCTCCGCCCCCCCCCCCTTTTCTCCTTCATCCCCCTGCTGCAGGTGCAGCAGTGGGGGGGGGGGGGGGGGTATGGGGGTGGCGGGATCTTGGAGGCTACAGGGGTGGCAGGAAGGGATCTGCAGCACCAGCCCCCCCCCCGCCCCCCCCCCCCCCCCCCCCCCTCCCCCCTTCTCCTCCATCCCTCTGCTGCGGGTGCAGCAATGGGGGGAGGGGGTCTGCAGCACCAGCCCCCCCCCCAGCCCTCCCCACTTCTCCTCCATCCCCCTGCTGTGGGTGCAGCGGTGGGGGGGAGGGGATCTGCAGTCCTGTGCGCCCTGCTGCCCTGTTCGCCCTGCGCGCCCTGCTGCCCTGCAGCCCTGCTGCGCTCCGCGCGCCCTGCTGCCCTGCTGCCCTGTGCGCCCCGCGCGCCCTGCAGCCCTGCGCGCACCGCGCGCCCTGCTGCCCTGCAGCCCTGTGCGCCCTGCTGCCCTTCCAGCCCTGTGCGCCCTGCTGCCCTGTTCGCCCCGCGCGCCCTGCTGCTCTGCAGCCCTGTGCGCCCTGCTGCCCTACAGCCCTGCGCGCCCCGCGCGCCCTGCTGCCCTGCAGCCCTGTGCGCCCTGCTGCCCTGCAGCCCTGTGCGCCCTGCTGCCCTGTTCGCCCTGCGCGCCCTGCTGCCCTGCAGCCCTGTGCGCCCGGCTGCCCTGCAACCCTGTGCGCCCTGCTGCCCTGTGCGCCCCGCGCGCCCTGCAGCCCTGCTGCGCCCCGCGCGCCCTGCTGCCCTGCTGCCCTGTGCGCCCCGCGCGCCCTGCGGCCCTGCGCGCCCCGCGTGCTCTGCTGTCCTGCTGCCCTGCGCACCCTGCAGCCCTGCGCGCCCTGCTGCCCTGCAGCCCTGTGCGCCCTGCTGCCCTGCAGCCCTGTGCGCCTCTGCTGCCCTGCTGCCCTGTGCGCCCCGCGCGCCCTGCTGCTGCCGCTACAGCCCTTGCTGCTGCCGCTACAGCCCTTGCTGCGGCCGCTACAGCCCTTGCTGTTGCCGCTACAGCCCTTGCTGCTGCCGCTACAGCCCTTGCTGTTGCCGCTACAGCCCTTGCTGCTGCCACTACAGCCCTTGCTGTTGCCGCTACAGCCCTTGCTGCTGCCGCTACAGCCCTTGCTGCGGCCGCTACAGCCCTTGCTGTTGCCGCTACAGCCCATGCTGCTGCCGCTACAGCCCTTGCTGCTGCTGCTACAGTCCTTGCTGCGGCAGCTACAGCCCTTCCTGCTGTCCTGCGCGCCCCGCGTGCCCTGCAGCCCTGCGCGCCACGCACGCCCTGCTGTCTTGTGCGCCCTGCTGCCCTCTGCACGCGCATCTGCAGCCCCATGCACAGCCCCTACCCCGCCCCCCCCCCTCCCCCCCCTTTTCTCCTCCCTCTCCCTGCTGCACGTGCAGCAGTTGGGGTTGGGGGGTGGGGAGGGGAGGGGAGGGTGTGAGAGGGAGGTTGCACCTACAGCGCCAACCTGCCTCCTCTCTCTCACAGCCGCACCTGCTGCTGTGGGGGGGAGTGTGAAGTGGTGGGGAGGCTCAGGGGATGTGGGTGGTGGGTGACAGAGCTGCAGCAACTCCCGCCACGCCTCCTCCTCTCTCTCCTCACTGCTGCTGCTACTGCTGTACGGGGGGAGGTTGAGGGGGTGCTGTGAGTCCAGCTGCAGCATCAGCCGCCTCCTCCTTATTTGCCCTCTCCTTCTGCTGCGCAGGGTGTACCCCTTCAGGGGGTGTTCTGCACATGGCTATTCCTGCATGCAGTTAGGGGGTGTGTCAAAATATATTTTATATATATTGCTATATAAATGCATATAGTTATAGCTGTAGTGTAGTTACTGTTATAGTTCCTGTAGGTTGTGCACCCTTTGCCATCTCTCGCTTGTATATCTTGTACTTTCTTCTCTTAGTGAACCATCTTTCCTCTCTCACCTTTTACTCTCGACAATTGCCTAGCTCACACCCTAGCCATGGCTCCCTAGCTTATGAGCTCATTTCAACAGAAACCGTTGTATAATTGTATATTGGGCTCCATTCTTGCATGTTAATTCGGCACGGTGTTTTGAGGTCCCCAAAACCTCTTGTGAAGTGACGATATACATATTCGGTACATGCAACAATCTTACGGAAACACACTGAGTTCATGGGTAATACCCGTATGTTTCCAGACCACACTAGAGAACTAGGAGGGTTTACAAACACTACCGTTGTCAATTAGGGGTTGTTTTTGTGCAGGCCCATAAATATGTTTGTATAATACTAATTATAATTGAATTGAGTGTCTATGTAAAATGTAACTGTACATTGTCATTACCTGGTTTTGATTAAGTCTCTAGAGGTGCGCACCACTTTGGGCTCACCTACGTGATTGCGATTTCCCCCCTATAGCTACTCTAGAAAGAAACACAGCACCAAACGGATCTCTTCCCTCTCTTCCTCATCCCCCTCGACTCTCACGCACGATTCAAAAACCCAAGTTTTGAATCAAGAGGCACATACTTCTCACCGTGCTCGCGACGCACACTCACGACCAATCGTGCCAAACTCCAGTGCATATGGCCCTGCTCACGTCGTGGTCGCTCTAAGAGGGGGCGACACGCCTTGTAGGAAAGGGAAATGCCGTGCTGTTGGCGGTCTGTATCGTGCCTTTTCACGGCCGCGCTGCTCGACCATCGTTAGCAATTCCCTAACCATCGCGCCATGCTCAAGTGCCAGTCGTGCAGAGATACAAGCCGCCATGGAGAGTTCGCGCTTTGGCGATGACCGTGTTGCAGTCACAGCCTTCGTTGACGGTGTATTTGATGCGTTCATAAACTTCAAACAGGCTAGTTGCTTCATAGGCCATTTCTCCACTCTTAGACGGATCCGTAACACATGGGCTCTTTGCCAGGCGTTGTCTGCGAGTTCTGCAACAGATGGTTCCCCAACGCCCAAGTTTATGGCGGTCATAAGTCACGGAGGACCCCTTGTCGAGGGCTTTCCGCCGTGGCAAGGCCCTCGCGATCTACACCGTCCGCCGGTCTACACGCTCTGCTACTCGTCCACGACATTCTCTCGGACGCTCCCACTACTCCCACTTCACCTACCGCATCTAACGCATCCAACACCGTCACTGTGAGCGGTCCTCCTCGCGTGCATGAAGCTGATGAGGACGAAACACCCTCGGCTGTTAACGAGGGGGCTCCGGAAGATGAACATCAACCGCCACCAGGAACACCTGCAGCTGACACAAGTGAGCATCCTGAGAGCCAGCCTGAAGGGAGTCAAGCCTCGCCGCCTACAAGCATCTCCGGACAGAGCGATGCCACGCCCCTCAATCTGCTCGCGTTGAAGCTGCTTCATTTTGTTTGGTGCGTGAATGGCGGAATGGGAATGGCGAAGGTTGACATCAATGGCTTGCTTCAGCTCGTGATAGAGCCCGGCCTTGCGCCTCTTGTGACCTCGGAGCTCCGGATCTGCAAGGATCTGGAGCGGTTTGAGATGGAGCGCTTGGCAGGGCTCAATCGCGGATGTTCGGTGGCGACATTCGAGATTGACGGTCATCCGCCTCAGCGCCTGCTATTCCAAAACTCAGCTCAGGGAAGCCGACTCTGAATCCTTGGCAGTGAAATGCTGATGCGGCAACCTTGTGGTGCTTGTATGAAGTTATATTCGTTCTCCTTGTATGAGATCGGACCCACCAATCAACACATCTAACCATGCCCCTCTTCTCTACTGCCTTCGCCACTGTAAACCAGGCATTCGCTGAACTATTTGGGCATACCAACAACGCGCCCGGCTTCAAGCTCAAGGCGCGGGTCGATGAGGACCCTGACACAGGCGACCGTCGCTATACCACGCCGGAAACAAGAACGTGGTGGAATGGTGCTCAGGTATGGATATACCCCGTTGCCACCCAAAACCGGATCCATGCTCATGCCTCCGTTGCTGCGCTGATGTGTCTGGTGCATGATGAGTGTGTCATGTTTGATGAACATGCTATGAAGGTCGTTTAACCCACCTGGCGACCAGTTACCGTGGTGGTGTTTGACCGTGTGTCCGTTGCCGCCTTGTCGTGCATTGCAGGAACACTTTGGATGGACCGAAGTCGTGGGGGGAATCATCCTATATTCGGATGTGACGCACATGAGCAACAACGGCCGGAAGAAGGCGTGGCCACTCATGATGACGCTTGCCAACATCTCCCAAGCCAAACGATGGGGGAAAGCCGGCCACACGCTACTTGCCCTCCTTCCTATCCCCCCTTCTGCAATGTTTACCGTGGAGAAGGTGATGCTCTTCCAGCGATGCGTCACCACTGTGCTGCAGCCGCTTCTCGATGGCATGGAAAGGTCCATACCCGGTGTTGCATCTTGCTATGTCGTCACCCAATCACCTGCATAGTATGCAGGGCGTCACGATATGTAGCAGTCCCCATTGCCCCTCTTCGTACATGCACAAATCATGTCCTCCCAATTCCTGATGCCGCTCTACCTGTTCCTTGCAGCGGGTTCCGTCTGTCAGATTTATATGACTTAGCTTCTGTAGGCTATAGTGGGGTAGCACATATGGGGTACAGCTTTCTAGGGTTTGTACTTGTACCCAACTTTCCCTTAGTCTTTTCATTCCTCGTTCATTCTCACATGGTATAGAGCAGGTTCCCCTGTGGGAACTGTTCCTAGGGCCCACCAACTTTTTTTTTTCCTGCCCGGAGCGCGCTCAGCCTCTGCCCGAGTCGCGCTCCCCTCTCACGGCCCCGTCGCGCCGCCCTTACGACCCCGTCGCGCTGCCTCAGCGGCCCCGTCGCGTCGCGCCTCCCTAGCGACCCCGTCGCGTCGCCCTTGCGACCCCGTCGCGCCGCCCTCGCGGTCCCGTCGCGTCGCGCCGCCCTCGCGGCCCTTTCGCGCCGCCCTCGCGGCCCTTTCGCGCCGCCCTCGCGGCCTCCTCGAGTCGCCCTCGCGACCCCTCCACGCCGCCCTCGCGGCCCCGTCGCCTACCCTTGCGGCCCCGGCGCCACCCTTCCCGGCCCCGGCGCCGCCCTTCCCGGCCCCGGCGCCGCCCTTCCCGGCCCCGGCGCCGCCTCTGCTGGCCCCGTCGCCCCACCCTTGCGA